TCATCGGGAGCGAGTGGCAAGTTTTAAACAAGAATTATTATTCTATTCTCTGAAGCATAAGAAACCGTGTCCATGAAGAAACAGCTAAGTAGAAAAACAAATTGATTAGCTTTTTTTGTGATAGGTTTTCATGATTTGAGTCGAACCTTGATACTCTTACTTCTGAGGACGCTGTTTTTCCGCCGTGCGTTGTTTTTCTACTGAGCTGTTTCTCCATGGAAACGGTTTCGTATGCTTCAGAGAAAAGAATAATAATTCTTGTCTAAAACTTACTACTCGCTCCCGATAAGCGCCCCTCGGAAATTTTCGGTAAAACGAATACTAATGTCGCAAAGAAGGGCTCCGCGTGCCCCAGATTTCGAGTACGGCAGATTTTTTTTTACTTTTTTTTATCGAAAATGCACTGTTTAAGAATTTTTTTTGGTGGAGAGTTTGATTTGATACGGCAAGTCCATCGGGCGTGGGGAATTTTTGAAAAGAGCATGAAGAAAATTTTTCAACCTCTGCCAATCACTGAAAAATTGTCCGATTTACATTCGGTTTGGACAACGTGGCTTGTTTTTTTTTGCGTAGAATTGATTTCTGAAATAGCAAAGTAGGGGTGCCATTTGAAAAGTTTGACTTACGGGTGGGGCACCCCCCGCCCCGCACCCCTCCCGCGGTTTGGGAGAATGTCAAATACGCAAAAAGGTGTCCCCCTCGATATAAACGAACACGTATTTTACCGTTTTTCGGAATTCCGACACGTTCGGCAGATATTCAAGGTGGCTCCTTTTTCGCGAGACACCTTGTATGAAACATTTAGCAAAATCCAGGTGGGGCCGGGAGAGGCCTAAAACGATACTCCTCCTTTGAAACTTGACGGATTTTCCAAAGTCTACAGTAGCAACTTTTTGGTCCTTCCAAAATTTTTGGGGGCGGGGGGCAACTTTCGTTTTTCAAATGGCAACCTCCCCTTCTATCACCGCATTCAAAAGGCAATATAAAAGAAAATATTTGGTGCAAATCGTAGATCAAAATGTTGATTTTTCACAAAATGGCGGCCGGTCGAAGTTCAAAATAACGGAAATTCCGCGTCTCCGTATTTATTGACGGATTGTGATGTAACCTGGTGTACAGGCGTTTTTGAGACGTGAAACACGATTCTTGCAATAGTTTTCCGGGAAATTCAGTCCTTTTCAAAATAATGGCGATCCAAATGGCGACCTAGAGCGGGAAGTGGATGTTTAGGCTGCTTATCGGTGGATTTGCATGGAACTTGGTAACTGGGGGTTGTGTAACGGCACGAGGAAGGCGAATCCTTCATTGCGTTCTTACAATTCTGAAAAACTTCAATATGGCGGCGGAAAAATGGTGAGAACTTAGTGTTACGGACGTTAATTCCCATCGACGTGGATTCGCAGGAAACTCGGCCGCCATTTTGAAAGTAATTAGCATTACCAAAATTTAATGCCAAAGATTAATTTTTTTTGGAGCCAGAAATCACCAGGGCAACCGACCCTCATGCGAATCTATCAGTAAAGTCCGTAATACTAAGTTCCCGCCATTTCTCCGCCGCCAAATTAAGGGTTTTCAAAATTTTAAGAATTCAATGAAGTCTTTCTCGTACCAAAATACCCCCAGATACTAAGTTTCATGCAAATCCATCGATAAGCAGCCCATATATCCACTCTTCGCTGTAGGTCGCCTTTTTGACCACCACCATTTTGAAAAGGACTGAATTTCCCGGAAAATCATTGTCAGAATTGTTTTTCACGTCTCAAAGACGCCTGTACACCGGGTTAATTACCAATCCGTCAATAAATACGGAGATACCAAATTTCCGTTATTTCGAACTCCGACCGGCCGCCATTTTGTGAAAAATCAACATTTTGACCTACAATTTGCGCCAAATCTTTTCTTTTTTTATTGTCTTTTGAATGAGGTAACGGAAAGAGGGGTTGCCACTTGAAAAATGAAAGTTACCCTCCCTCCCCTGTAGAGGGGGACATAGGATGCGTCAAGAAAAAATGAAAGTTTGAAATGTTCCGCTCCCCAGGCGGCAATCGATCGAAGTTTTGCCAAAATTTGGGCAAATTTTAATCATTTTAAATGGTGCCAAAGGTCAATTTTTGGATGAAATTCTGATCATTAGGTTTAGACCTTGGTTTTGTACAAAAAACTCGATTTTACGCTGAAACCGTGCGTTTGAGACAAAATTGCCAGAGAATTAAAGTTGTTGAGGATGCAATTTAACTCAAAAAAAATTTTTTGTACCCAATGTAAATCTAATTAAACTAGAAAAACTCACCTCAGTATTTATTTTTTGATCCTCAAGACTTCTGAGGCCTTACAAAGTACCGACATAGAAGACTCATTTCTCACCAAAATGACTCGAAAACGGGTATAAACGAACTCAAGGCACATGCCAAAGATACAAATGTCATCAGAACTTCCTCAGTTTCAAAATGGGGCCCCACTCTTTTGCACAATCCTCCAAAAAGTGTACGACTCGAAAAGCAGGATCCTGCTATCGTAAAGGAGAAGTACGATTTGATCCGGAACAAATTACGTAACAAACTTTTCGTATGTAAACGTCATCAGAAGGTCCTCCTGAAAAACTTCCGAAAAGTAAAAATGGTCCGACCCTGGTACACCCCTCAAAGTACCCCCTCAAGTACCCCCTTTATTGCAATATGGCAGCCATAATCAGGGGGTCCAGGATTTCAGTAATTTAAAATGTTCTTTCAGTGTCAGGTAAGGTATCATTTCCTATGTAATTTTGGTCGTAAATTGCATGTGTAAACTCAAAATGGCGGTCAAGGAGTGCACCCCAAATCAAAGATGGCGGCCAAATGTGAAAGACAGGAGATTACATTTTTTTTATCCATGGAACGCATGGTATGTGATGAAATGGGGATTTTTACGTTTTAAAGTGGTTCGACTGAGGTTAGGATCGCACCCACCTCGTGAGGAGGCTCCTAGCGTTCCACTGGCACACAAAGAACGGGCTGGACTGCACCAGTTGACCGGGATGAAAAATTGAGGTGTTTCTTCGCGATCCTCTTTCGTTGCGATCCTCTGCGGTTTGGATGAGAAAAAAAAGCTCTAACAAATCCGCTACTATGCTCATCGCCCGTCTTGAAATCGCATGTCAACTAGTGTTTAAATCTCGTTAAAACTTTTAGGAGCCATCGTGGCCAGCAAGTTGAAAAATTAGGAGCCAAAATGGTTTTTCGGTTTTTTCTCAGAAATTATTACGAAGATTTTATCGTTACAGTATTGCTCGGAATGTTAGTTATGGTTTAATTGTCGGGACAGCAGAATTTTTTCCAATTGCTATCGCATATTACAGGGATATTTCTGATATCCACGCATGGTTCTTTACGTGTCAATTTTGGCCGCGGCTTTAATTTTGTAGACGCCAAAGCCGAATATTCAGGTGCTTACGGCGCATGGCGCTTGTGGGATTTAAACACTAATTTCAACGTAAATTTCAACCTACACCTCGTTCATGCGGAATGTGAAAACTTAGTCTTCAGTGTAAAATGAGATTTCTAATACAAATGTCGAAAACCTACATTTCGTTGATTCCGCAAGGTTTATGCCGTGTTTTGAACCTTCGGTTTTGATTGAAGTGAAGTTTTGAGCATCGCCTAAACATACCCACATACGCCCATGCCGTTAAGCCTACAGTATAAGTACTTATAAATTATTAGAAAGAGTTTGATAATCAAAAAATCAACACACTATTTAAATGAATAATCATGACAGAGTCATGGTGCTGATACGATACACTCACCTAAAATACTAATTCCTGCGCGGTATAAAATCAAACTGCTGAACAGCAGGAACGAAAGATGTAAGTGAAGGAGAAACAATGTTGACCCTCATCTGCTATCACTCTGAGTCAATGATGGACATGCATTTTAACTTCGAATACGAACGCTTACTTAAATGTACCTTAGTGAATCTTCCAGAGAGGATTGAGAGAAAAACATGACCAATGAGAAGTTAAAAATATGAGGAGGGGGGGTAAGGTGAATTTGCAGACTGCGTCCAAGGTGAAACAATTGTGGCTCACCCTTGCTGCCCGGTGTGGCGTGAAGAGGGATTTCCTATATATCTCACATGCATTAGTATAGGAAAAAACAACTTATCCCCTTTTTTTTGGGCTGCAGGGAAATTTTTTTCCGAATTTTATTTTTTAGACCTACTCCGACGGTTCTCAGCTTCATTCTTGCATAGTTTGAAGGAGATGGCTTCAACAGTATTTTGCGGAGTGTTGATGATTTTTGGAGAGGGACCTTTTATTTATTTAAAATACCATATATATCGACGGTGTAGGTCGGCAATCTTATAGCTTGGTTTGCGACATCGCAGACTTCCTGTTGTACTTTATTTTTTTAAACGGAAAACTACTCAACGGCAATTCTTTAAAACTGCCATGATTTTTCTTCTCTGTTCAAAGAAAATTCTGCAAAAACTTCAAGGAATGATGTCAATTTGTTCTTTGAAAAAATTACATAGAGGCGGAGATTTTTATACATCGCAAACGAGATATGTGATTGCGGACGTAAGCCGTCGATTTGCAGTTTCCAAAGCTGGAAGACCTAATGAGCATAGGTTCTGGCATAGTAAATAATTAAAATATTGATTGTTATATGTAAAAAGAAACAACAAAAAGTCGATATGGGCCCTGCCCCTAGTCAATGAAATAGCGTGCTACTTACTTGTTTTTCAGGATACCAGTTAAAACATAGTCGTGTGTTAAATTGCTAATAGATCAGTACCTCTAATTGAGTTGAGTCATTGCACAAGGTTTTTATATGTAAGCGAGACAGGTAAGAGCTTGTGAGTTAGGCGCTTGCAGTGAAGCAGCTTTGTATGCAGATCTAATGATCTTATCCACATTTCTGTCAGTAAATGTTTGAGTTCAGTTTACCACAAAGTCGGTCACTGGATATCCTCAGGTTTTTTCTTTCCTTTTATACTTTTCTAATGGTTTATTTCATGATTAGTGCAACAATTACAATCGGTGGCCTACTCTGGTAAGAAATCTCGGATAATTGACTTAGATGTAGTATATGTTAGAAAGTAGTCCCTCCACGCTATGCCTGTATGTTCTGCTTTAGACTCTGGTTCTGGTGTGATGAAATTTTTCATTGATAGTTCCATTGGAAAAACTTGGAGAAAACACATAAGAAGTACATTTTAAGGTTACAATAGGTCGTCAAGGTCTGTCCATCCAGTCTAAAAACTTTCTTTGATGCAGGAAGTCAATGCTAGTTATCTAAGCTCCAAGTGGATCCTCAGATAGTTTCTGAATCATGCTAGCCACCATTGCCTTCCTTTAAGCTAAATCGGCAATGGAGCTGAATTGAATTAATGATAAAAACATTATTCAAGCTGTAGACGAACCACCAAGGAATATTTATAGAAAAAATAATTTCTTTAAATCTAAAAATTAAGTAAAAAGTACCCCGATGACTTTACTGCTGATATCTTCACATCCAAGAGCAGTTGCAGTGGTCGGATGCTCAAGTATTACAGGCAAATGTTTTGTTCAGTTTTCAACAGTAAGTCATACGCAATAACAAAACCAGCATATCTGTCTTTACATAAAAATTGTTTCGAAATTTGGGAAGAGTATTTCTGACTGTTTCTCAAGGTTTCAAGGGACAATTTTTTGTTTAACGATGGTCTAATTTTAAGTGCGAAACCACATATCATTATTGCGGTGTTTCAAACTTTCTGTTCATATTTTATTTTGTGGAATAGAAAGAATCGTACTCCAAAAGAATCTTGAGTACCCATATAAGACAGAGTTTGGCCATTTCTGTGACGGTTTCTCATCGGTCGTGAGAAAATAAGCTTACACGATGTTCTTACGGTGGTAAATTAACAAACAAGATGGCTGTTATTAGCATGTGAGTTTGAGGTTATGCGCACTTAATGTCTTCGGGTGATGGAGGCTATTTTCAATTTTCATAGTCTTTTTCAGGTGTTTTTCGTCGTACTCTAGTCTTTGGAAGAGAGATAAATAAATTTAATACTATACAACATGCAGAAGATTACGTTCCAATTTTGAAAATGGGTGACTTTTCGACCACTTCAACACTGCATCTTAGAAAATCACTGGAAATTAAAATATGCATGTATCCAAGTGCACTCATGCAATATATTCAAAATGTGTTCTCCTGCTTATCAAGTTCAAATGAATTTCCTTTAAAATTGATGAGAAGTCCTCGTGTACTATTGGCTGGGCCACTGATACAATAAGTCGCAATTCGGAGGCTCTTGTCTTGCATTGCTATTGAAGTATAGAATGCTGCAAAATAGGAACACATGCTTCCACTTGAAATTGGGAGCAAAAAATGAAGAATAAATTGTTACTTCCGTGCAATTGAAATTTTTATGTAACTTAAGCTTCTTGTTAATGATACTGTGCGTCGCCATCTTAAATGTTTATTCAAGGCTGTAAGAGCATCATGAAGCTTTAAAAGTAGTAGACCAATCAAATAGCGGCACAGTTTTCCTGTACCAAAAAGATACGAATGGTCTTACTCTGTCTTATAAAGCACTCTAAAAGAATCCACCTGTAAAGCTTGAAAAAGATGTGTGAAAAAACGGTCAAAAATGCCTCAACGCATTTTCGAATTTTGAACGCTTGACGTGATAAAGTATCTCCGGAGATGCCTTAAACGGATCGCGGCTTCGGTTAGAAACGCCAGGTTGGGATGTTGCCATTTTTCAAAGTGAAAAACTTCAAAAATTCATAACTACTCTGCATCTCAACCTATTTCAATGAACTTTTTTTTAAAAATGTTTCTCTTTAATAGAACTTTCGAATAGTGTACATGGGTTACTTGAGTTCACTCGGCATTGAGCGGCACTTGCGCAGTTTTAGTTAAACACATAAATTTGGTTTTCATGTCACTGCAAATTTGGAGTCCACTGAATTCGAACAAAAATCAGTCGAAATGAAAGTTCAGTCTTTCACCTTCCAAACGAGCACAAAATCGTCCGGGAGAAACGTCCAGTTTCTGAGATATGGCTGCCCACAATGGGCCTGTTGCAAACTTTTGCTAGAGCAAAAATAAGAGTTGTTTCTTATAGATAATGCCTCAAAAATCACGATGAGCGCATCGGCAAAGTCTGTAATGCACTCATAACTTCACAGTCTGCGTAAGAAATTTGCGGTTTTTTGAGCTTCCTGCTTCAAAAACGATACTACGGCACAGGTGAACATTTTGTAAGAGGAGTCGTTCAATCGTCGGCAATAATCATCATGGCCGACGCCAATCCGTCAAAACACGTTTGATGGGACGAGATAACACCTGAACTGGATTAGACCAGATAACAATTGGTGTGTTAACGTTCATATTTTCCACGCCCGAATTGATTGACCTTGAACTCTCCTCGAACTAAGCGCGGAACTGCGCGCAAGCGTCGGCCATGATGAATATCGCCGACGATGGAGCGACTCCTCTAACAAAATGTTCACCTGTGCCGTAGTATCGTTTTTGAAGCGGGAAGCTTAAAAAAACGCAAATTTCTTACGCAGATTGTGAAGTTATGAGTGCATTTCAGACTTTGCCGATGCGCTCATCGTGATTTTTGAGGCATTATCTACAAGAAACAACTCTTATTTTTGCTCTAGCAAAAGTTTGCAACAGGCCCATTGGTTCAGGTCGTTTATACGCGATTGGGAACCACTGAAAGGACTTTAAGGCGTTCACTTGATCGTTCAGCAGGGCTTTCTTATGATCCAATTATTATAAGGAGCAGTCAGACATCTGAAGTGGACCAGTTTTTTTGAGCTTCGGTTTCCGGATTGTGATGTTGCCATTTTTTGAACTGAAAATCCTCAAAAATTCACTTGAACGGATTTCAATGAACTTTTATTTATAAATTTCACTCTTAAATAGAACTTTTTAGTCGTGTAGAGGTTAATGCGTTTACTCAGCACTGTGCAGCACTTGCCCGGTACTTTGTAGGAATTTTCTAATGGACCGTTAAAACTGCGTAAGTGCCGAGTTAACTCAAATAATTATACACAATTAGAAAGCTCTATTTGAGGGAAACATTTTTAAAAATTTTCATTAAAATCGGTTGTTATGAAGAGGAGTTATGTATTTTTAATGGTTCTTCACTTTAAAATATGGCAACGTCGTAACTCAGCGTTTCTAAGCAAACCGCGACCAGTTTAAGGTGTTCTATGAGATACTTTATCACATGAAGCGTTCAAAATTCGAAAATGCGTTGAGGCATTTTTGACTGTTTTTTCACACACTTTTTTTATATAGGGTTATCCAAAAGTGCGGGACCCCCCTTATAACTTTTGAACTAAAAATATCAGAGATTAAAAATTTGGGAAACGTTCCTTGTTCAAAGAGGACTCCTTTTTAGCGTATCCAAAATTTCGGGGGCGGCTTCCGTGAGGGGGGGGGGGGGGGGGGGGGAGGCGACACTAACTTTTTTTTTTGCTCAAAGAGAACCCCAAACTTGCGATACATTATTCTAAAGGGCTTAAAAAAGAAAATTTTTGGCGCAAATCAATTGTCAATATCTCAATTTATAACTAAATGGCGGGTTACCTCAAAGTCCGCCCCCTCCCCCCCACATAACTTTTGAACAAAAAATGCCAGGGACTCGGAATTTGGGGAATGTTCACAGGTCAAAGGGAAGTACCTTTGGGTAATTGGATAAAAAAAGAAATCATTTGGCGAAAACTGATTGTCGGCATCTTAATTTTTAACAAAATGGCGGCTAAAGAATGACGCAAAATGCGTTTTGGGCTCTTTACCGACGGATTCGCTTGAAACTTGGTTTTTGCAAATCCGAGATTGGATTTGTTTTTCTCGCACCCGAAAACCCCTGGTAACCACGTTCCATGCGTTCCATCGGCCCCCCCCATAGGGGGACCGCCCCCCGAAATTTTGGGCACGCTCAGAAGTAGTTTCCTTTGACCTAGGAACATTCCCCGAATTTCGAATCCTCATCATTTCTTGTTAGGAAGCTATATGGGGGGTCCCGGACTTATGGATAACCCTATACAGGGTGATCCAAAAGTCCCTTCCACCCCCTCTAACTTTTTACCTGATTGAGGTAAAGATTTGAAACTTGGGGGATGTCCCTAGGTCAAAGGAAGCTACTTTTTTGCCCCCCCCCTAAGACTTTCAGGGGCCCCCTTGGGAAGGCAACGGACCCCAACTTTTAATTTTCAAATGGGAAGACCCCCTGTGTGATAGCTCGTTTGAAAGAGCATAAAAAAAGAAAACTTTTCGCAAAACCCTAAGTCGATACCTCAAATCGTTACAAAATGGCGGCCGGTTAAAGTTCAAAATGGCCGAAAACTCACACCGGTTACTTGTCGATGGATTTGCCCGAAAATCGATATCTGGAGGTATTTTGACACGAAAAAACGAATTTGACGTTAGATTTTCAAAGAAACCAAAATTTTCCAAATGGCCACTGGCTAAGTTCAAAATGACCAAAAATTGGTTTTTCTTAGAAATCTAAGTTCAAATGTGTTAATCTTTTGCCAAAATACCCTCAAATTCCAAGTTTTAGGCAAATCAATTGGCTGATAACCGAGGTGGCAATTTTCGACCATTTTGAACTTTAACCGGCGCGGCGGCCATTCTAGAAATCTCGGTTTCTTTGGAAATCTAACGTCAAATTCGTTTTTTCGTGTCAAAATACCTCTAGATACCGATTTTTCGCGCAAATCCATCGACAAGTAACCGGTGTGAGTTTCCGGCCATTTTGAACTTTAACCAACCGCCATTTTGAAACGGTTTGAGGTACCGACTTGGGGTTCTGCGAAAAGTTTTCTTTTTTCATGCTCTTTCAAACGAGCTATCACACAGGGGGTCTTCCCATTTGAAAATTAAAAGTTGGGGTCCGTTGCCTCCCCAAGGGGGCCCCTGAAAGTCTTAGGGGGGGGGGCAAAAAAGTAGCTTCCTTTGACCTAGGGACATCCCCCAAGTTTCAAATCTTTACCTCAATCAGGTAAAAAGTTAGAGGGGGTGGAAGGGACTTTTGG